ATAGGGCATGTTTACATTGGCAGTTCAACAATCTTTCCCTAATAGTATCAGAGTGCCACTCAAAACACACTCATATTCACTCAAAGTAAACTCGATTGGTGACAGTTCTGATCTTGGTACAATTGCATGTCTCACACTTAACTGCACTTTTATTTCTTTTTAAACAATTGTAGTATATTCTAGTGAACGAATGACTGGGGTAACCACGAAATTAAAAAACATATGCACTTATGTTCACTTTAAAACTCTCGATCTATCGCTTTTCAAACAAATTTCACTTGTCTTACGCTTAACAGTAGTACTGGTAACCTTTTGAACATGTAAGCGCAGTATATATTATTTTAGGAGTAAATGACCATAAGAAACACTCTCGTATCTGCTAAAAAAAAATTGATCGATACCGGTTAATGGACTAAAATTGACTCGTCTCATACTTGAAACAGGGTTTGTTGCTTATCAAACTACCACAGCATATAATGACTAAAGTGAATTACACTCATGTCTACTCAAAAAATTGATCGACTTTAGTTGACGGAAAAAACTTAATGCAGTGTATACTGCTCAACGAGTACACGAAAAAGACAAGAAATCTCTAAACACACCTATCTCCACTCAGAGTAAACTTTAGCATTCACAGTTCTTACCAAGGTTCATTTGTGTCACACTTTTAAATGCTAGTGCTTAAAGTACTTTAATGGTACCTCAGGTGGTGTTTCATTGTATGTGATCCTAGTGTCAATACTGAAGAGGTTATTCTTCTCTCCAAAGCCCATTTGAAACTGCCAAACGTACAGCTTGGTATTCGGTGGGATATTCACCTTAAGGGTTTCTTCTTTTTCAGTGGTGTCACTCCATTCGAACTGCGCTGTGTTGACCATCTTTCCACCAAACGTCTCCTTAAGGCCATACTGAACTTTACAGAGACACTCAATCAATTTAGAAACATTGATCTGCTTATCTTTGCTTTTTGTCGTCTCGATGGACCAGTTAGACTCTATGGAGGATATTGTACTCTTGTCAAATCCAACGGTTTTCTTGATTTTTTTTTTTCCATTCTATGGCAGTGTTGGAGTCGTTTTGAAGAGATTTTACTTCTATCCAATGCCCGAACACTTTTCCGTGGGTGTACGCCATACCGCCAGGGAGAAAATTGAGCACTGACTCGTGAACGCTGAAGTCACCGCAATCTTTGTTCAAGTTCATGTTGGTGCTTTTGTGATAGGTGACACCCCATTTTCCAGCCTGCATTAGACAGTAGACATAATTCTTGGTACCCCAGTAATAGATGCCATCTTGGAACGCTTGGTGGATTTTATATTCAACGGCGTCTTCATCTTTGTTCATATTTCTCACTCGCCTGTAGGTGCCTCTCTTGGCAAACACGATGTACCAATTACCAAAGGCAGAGTAGTAGCTGCTTCCTCCGCGACAGTTGCAATGAAGAGAGTAAACCACAGCGTCCTCGTCTTTACTCAGCTCGGTCACTCTGCGATACTCATCTCCTTTAATGATGTAGAAATAAGAGTCAGTGGCCAAGTAGTGATCGCCCCATCTACAGGCTTCACTTAAACGATGAATCTTGATACGTTTTCCAGTGTGAATATCTTCGCAACTCATGTAGACACCCACATCAGAACGGATGATATAGAAGCTTTTTTTAGTACCACAAAAGTCTATTCCTCTGGCCTCAGGTGCACTCTTTGGCA